GATGAGACGGAATCTTACGACACAATACTGCATAATTAACCTGAGCAGTATGCTTCAATTTAGAGTGCTGCGTCATTTGATCGCTTCCACTTCCTGTTCTCCGACCCCCAACGTTAGCGGAGGAGGGCTCTTGTCTAACACGATCGGTTTCCCATCTCCCAAATTTCTGCCGCCTGCACCCGTGTTTTTTTTCGGTATTGTAACGGTGCCGGCGCCAGCCCCGACTCGCTCATTCCTGGGCATGTTTTGTGTCCATAGAGTTTTTTTTCATTTTGCATTGGCAAATGACTGCCAATCCTATATGATTCTACTGTCAATACATGATGTTCCTCGACTCGTACTACAGACAACCATTTGACCAGTCTTGCTCAGGTGGTAAGATAAAAAATGTGTTGCAGGTTCAAAACCTGCTCAACAATCTTTTTCCTTTTGCCACACCTTGAATATTTGTTCATGGATTCTTCAAGTTCTATCTTACAGCTGTTTTGCAAAAGGTTGACAGTAGCGATATTTTGAGAAAGAACAAAACAATAAATAATAGCCATGTACATACATCATAAATTGACCATCATGTATTGGAAAATCAGTCGTGATGTCAAACTAGCCATGATTAATCTTCATGAGCATCAACACCTTGCACTCGAAGACATCCTTGCTTGCATCGGATTTTTGGAAAGCACATTCTGGTCGATTTTTGAGCTCTGGCATGAAATGGGAGATGTTGTCAGGCATACATTTGGCATTCATGGTTGTCCTCATACCCTTCATTGTGACGATGTACTCTATCTTGTATGTCTCATTCATCATCACCCTGAATGGTTCCTAGATGAGCTCTTTCAACTTCTTGATACCAACTGATTCATCTCTGTACACTATAATACCATTCACTGTGAACTAACACACATCGGCATTTCTCTCAAGAAACTGAAGTGTATTGCAAAGGAGAGGAATGAGGAGAAGAGGATGGGCTTTCTCATTTGCATGAGCCAATATTCACCAGAGCAGCTTGGTTTCCTTGATGAAACATCCAAAGACAAGCATACAGCAGGCAGCTGCATGGATGAGCAGCCACAGGCCAGCATGCATGTAGCCATCAGGTCTTTGTTTGTGGGTAGTGTGTCTCTGGACTAGGACTTCTGACTGTAGATGGCATGGCTGCTTCAAGTGTCATTGAAGGCTCATTCACCACAGTAAAATATCTTGAGTTCCTTCAATCTACAGTGGTATGTCACTGATTCTAACTCTGGCAAGCACTGCAAAGCTGACATGACTTAGTTGCTAATGTGTTCACCTTATCCTGGACTTTTGTCTGTCCTTGTAATGGACAATATGAAAATCCATCATGGAGAGGGTGTTGTGGAGTTGATTGAAGCTTATGGTGAGTTGCTGTGTCTGATCTAGATGAGTTTGTGAACCATTGGGGATAGGTTTGCCTTGAGTATCTCCTGCCCTACTCCCCAGATCTGAACCAAATCGAAGAAGCTTCTTCAAAGATTAAGACCTTCATCTGTTGCTATCAGGACTACTTCCTTGCATCCAATAGTATCATATTTGACATGTATGAAGCCATGAGTATTGTTATGATGTCTGATGCAGCAGGGTACTTCATTCACACAGGATACTTTTAGTGACAGCAGTAGAATTACATCAAGTCCAATTGGAACTTTCAATACATGTATGACAGCAATACGAATCTATGTACTCAATTTATGGTCTGGTTCTCAATAAGCTAGGCTTCACATCTCTCCATTAGCCCACTGTGCAACTGCAACCTTCATTGCTGCAATCTTACCATTCTTGAATCCCATTTCTTTCAGCTCCAAAACAACAATGTATCTGATGGTCTGTGTTCCCATATATCCATTCTCCATGAGCTTGGCATGAATGTCTGGAGATAGGTTGTACACAGCACAAAAGTTCACAAGAGACAAGTCAGGGCCAGGCTGAGCAGAGATAGGAAGAACAGGGATATCAGCACTGTTGATGAGAGCATTGGTTTGACCAGGAGTGGTTGGCAAGGGTACTGATGCAGGCTGTAAGAATGAAAAAATGTCATTAGGAAGGTTGAAATTGATTGTTGGAACAGTTGATGCAGATGGGCCTGGTGTAGATTGAGCAGTGTTCTGTTCCACAAGATGTTGCTGAATCAAGGGTGCAGAGTTTGATAAGAGGTTAGAGGACAATGTATTGAATTCCTTATGGTTCAGTGGCTTGTTGAGTGTTGTGATAGGTGGTTTTTTGCAGCCTAAACAACAGACTATTCAGCAAGTGCACTCTCCATGTCATTACCTCATGTCACCAAAGTAGTGGCCCACACACTCAAGTGCCAATGACTTAGTGTGAAATGAGTGTTGTTATCTGGTAGGATACAGTGGCTCAAAAAACTGTCTGCATGTTTTGACATTTTTCACTATTGTTAAGAACCATGCTCAAGGGAGAGAGAGACTGACTCAGAGGGGCTTGGCCTCAGCTTGTACGCTGTGCCCCTTACCTGAGTATGTGCCCTTCATTTCAGAGGAAGTCCAATGATGGTCCGATGAAGTCCAGAGGACTTCTGGAGGCTGGCTACTCTGGTGGAGAGTGTGGGAGGACTTCCAGAGGAGCATGGGAAACATCTGGAGGAGCGCAGGAGAGTTCCGGAGGGATGCAGGAAATGCTCAGGAGAGTTTCCACTGCAAGGTAATACTTCTACAGGAAAACAGGATGGAAGGATAGGAGGTCCGGAGGACAGGAGGACAGGATGTCCGGAGGTCTGGAGTATGGAGGACAGGAGGTCTGGAGGTATGGAGGACGGAATGTCCGAAGGTATGGAGGATGGAATGTCCGAAGGTACGGAGGGCGGAATGTCCAAAGGACAGGATGCCCGGAGGTATGAGGGACAGGATGTCTGGAGGTACAGAAGACAGGAGGTCCGGAGGTCCGGAAAGAATAGGGGCTACATCGGATGAAGTCTGATGCAGAAGCAAACAGAGGTAGACTACCCTAAGGTAGAGTTGGAGGGACAGGAAGTGGACCTAAGTCCAGAAAGAGGGTAAGTGCCGGAAAGGCAAGACTCTAGCCTAGGGAAGCAATCCCTAGACTTGGGACAGAGACATAGGGGACAAATCCGAAGGTCCAGAATTCCGGCCTAGGGAATCCTTCCCTAGGCCTTATGGAAAAGGACAAGACTCAGATGGATTGAAGTCCAGAAGATGATTGGCAAGTAGAACAGGAACTAAGATGAGAGAACAGGAACTAAGATGATATTTAGACTGAGGACTCTACTGTAGTTGTACAGGGGTTATATACTAGAGACTATCTGAGAGGATCAGTAAGCAAAGGAGTAAGGCTATGTACGAGCATGCAGAAACACATTGGTAAGTAAGACGGAACATAAGTAAATGAACTTGGAGATGAAACTAGTACAAGGATCAATCAGCAAGACAGAAACAGAGATAACCGGGAACCAGAAAGGGGGAGATGCCTAAATGGAGATAGGCACAGGATCTCGGACGGAGGGTGGGAATAGGTCTGGAGATAGTACAGTTAATATCTGGAGGTCTGGAGATCTGGGGATCCAGAAGGCAGGGCGGAAACAGGACTGAGATATGTGAGGTGGTGGATGTAGTCAGGAATCCGAGAGGAGGTAAAGTCCAGATGTCTTGCTGGATGGAATGTGCATAGGGTGGACAGGATAGGGGATCCAGGAATGAGTTGGATATGGGGTCCGGAAACAGGTCCGGAAAGCGTGGGAATATGATGGGATCTATGTCTGGCATATGGGATATGACAACTATCTATGATATTGTGTGAGAACTCACAAATACCTCAAGGACATGCTTATAGCACATTGTAGTATGGCTTCAGGGCTTTCATTTGAGCCCTACACCGTGGGAATCGGTGGAGATATGGTGGAGATATAAGGCTTATAAAATGATGACTCATATGGACAGTTTTTTGAGTGCATATTAAAACTATATAAATCATTATTTATGACACCACAAAAATCATGCCACTATTATATAAATTATGAAGTGGTGTCATTATGTTATTTTATGACTATATCTAACTATATAAACCAGAATATCTCATGTATCATAGTCATAATCACCATGAAAGCCATCTCCTCTGCTCAAAGAGATAATATCCTCTCTCTGTCTTATGCTGGCCTCTCTGCTTGCCAAATTTCCTCTAGAAATGGAGTATGCAAGTCCACTGTGGCCAAGTTTATCAAAGAAAGCCACCCAGACAAGGAAAACTCTTGTGGAGGACATCCATCCAAACTTACCTCTACTGACAAAAGGGCTATTATCCAACATATCACTACAGGAAAGGCTGATAATGTTGTCCAAGCCACCCATTATATCAATTCCACCATCACTACCCCTGTCTCTTTACAAACTGTGAGGAATGTTCTCAAGGCAGCTCATCTCAAGGCAGTAACAAAGAAGAAAAAGCCTCTTCTCTCTATCAAACATAGGCAGAGAAGACTAGCCTTTGCCTTAGCTCATCAACACTGGACTGTAGAGGACTGGAAGCATGTTATATGGTCAGATGAGACCAAAATCAATAGGATTGGGTCAGATGGGAAGGTATATGTATGGAATATGTATGGAAAAAGAAGGGAGATGGCCTAACAGACAGAGAGGTTAATGGGACTGTCAAGTTTGGAGGAGGTTCTTTAATGGTATGGGGCTGTATGGGATGGAATGGTGTGGGAATGCTTGCTGAGGTTGAGGGGAAGATGAATGCTAAGCAGTATGTGGACATTTTAAATGACCACTTGCTGCCTAGCTTGGCAGAATCAGGGATTGATGAAGAAGATATCATTTTCCAACAGGATAATGATCCCAAGCACACATCCAGAAGAGCTAAGGAATGGTTTGAAGAACATAACATCAATGCTCTTGACTGGCCAGCACAGTCTCCTGATGTCAATGTCATTGAACATCTCTGGGGAACACTCAAGAAAAAGCTTTAAGCCTATGAAAACCCCCCTAAAGGAGTATGGGAGCTTTGGGAGAGAGTAGCAGTGGAATGGGGGAAGATCACAGCTGAGGATTGCCAGAAATTAATTGAGAGTATGCCTAGAAGGATAGAGGCAGTAATTAAAGCCAAGGGAGGTCATACAAAATACTAGCATACCTGGTTATTATTGTAAAATACTTGAGTCAAAAAACTGTCCACATGAGTCACCATTTTGTGAGCCTTGTATCTCCACCATATCTCCACCGATTCCCATGGTGTAGGGCTCAAATGAAAGCCCTGAAGCCATACTACAATGTGCTATAAGCATGTCCTTGAGCCATTTGTGAGTTCTCACACAATATCATAGATAGTGAAAAATGTCAAAACATGCGGACAGTTTTTTGAGCCACTGTATGTGCCCTTGATTTCATATGAGGTCTGATGATAGTCTGACAAAGTCCAGAGGACTTCTGGAGGAGTGTGGGAGAGTTCCAGAGGAATGCAGGAAGTGCTCAGGAGAGTTCCCACTGCAAAGTAATACTTCTACAGGAAACAGGATGGAAGGATGGGAGGTCCAAAGGTCCAGAGGACAGGAGGACAGGATGTTCAGAAGACAGAAGGACAGGAGGATAGGACATCTGAAGGTATGGAGGACAGGATGTTAAAAGGACAGGAGGATAGGATGTTTGAAGGTACAGAGGGCAGGATGTCCAAAGGACAGGAGGATATGATGTCCAAAGGTATGGAAAGAATAGGGGCTACATTGGATGAAGTCCAATGTAGAAACAAACCAAGGTAGACTACCCTAAGGTAGAGTCAGAGGGACAGGGATTGGACCTAAGTCCAGAAAGAGGGTAAGTGCCAGAAAGGTGGAGCTCCAGCCTAGGGAATCAATCCCTAGGCCTGATGGATAGGACAGACTTAGGTGGACCAAAGTCTGAGAGAGGATTGGACAAGTAGAACAGGATCTAAGATGATATTCAAACTGAGGAAGCTACAGGAGTATCTACAGAGGTTATATACTGGAGAATATCTGAGGAGATCAGTAAGCAAAGGAGCAAGGCTATGTACGAGCATGTGGAAACACATTAGTAAGTAAGACAGAACATAAGTAAATGAACTCAGAGATGAAGACTCATACAAGGTTCAATAAGCAAGATGGAACAAGAGGTAACCGAAAGCTGGAAAGGTGGAGATGTCTAAATGGGGATAGGTGCAGGATATTGGACAGAGGGCAGGAATACATCCAGAGATAGTTATGGTTAATATCTGGAGGTCTGGAGATCTGATGATCCAGAAGATGAGGTGGATATAGTCCAGAATCTGAGACAAGGTAAAGTCCAGATGTCTTGCTGGATGGAGTGTGCATAGGGTGGATGGGATAGGGTGGTACAGATCAGGCCAGCAGTGAGAATCTGGAGGTCTGGAGCTCAGGGGTAAATCCAGAGCGGAGT